TAGATCTGATAAACAGCCCGTGGATGTAGTCAGAATTAAGAGGGAAAAAGCCTCGATTGCGTCTGCGTCTGTTGATCATGTGCTCGGAGTTGAGAAGAAAGGTGGGCACCTTTCACCCGTCTTGGTTTAGTTTTGAGCGCCCAGCGTGGGCTCTTTTGGCAGCGTGACCACTGCATCTCCATCTCCTCCACTGCCTCGAGAGTGAAAGTCACGCTTTGTCACGCGCCATCCAGGGGACGTGCGTGCGTGCCTCCAGGTCTAACTACAGCCCAAGTTCAGCGCTCGCTCTAAAAGATCAAGCAGATAGATATCTATCTCTTGGTGCTTCAACCTTGACACCTCGACTCTTTTTTCTAGAGTCTGGCCACTGAAAAAGAGAGGCATTTTGACTCTCTAGAATATCATTCATCTCCAGCTTCTGTCATCTCTACAAACTGGAGCTCTTCTTTCTCTTCTTTGCCCCTCGTCCTTGATAACGAAGCCAGCGGCTTATCATCGCATCACATCGCCTTGCATCGTCTCGCCTCTTCACATTCAACTCAACTCAACTCAACTCAACTCGACCTCAATCCCGTTCAACTGAGAGTGCATGCACGTGATCGTTTAAAATATCTCTTCACTCTCTTTCTATCTATCCATTTTTGCCATCTTTCAACTTATCATCCATCCCCCAACAAACTGCTAGGTGCTATATAACTACAAGGCACTGCCTATACTTCTCATGAGAACGGTACCTCTTCTCATGAAACTAGGTAGCCCGCACAACACCCTTCTTGAACTGCATCCTGCAAGTAGCCGCCTGCCACCTGCGGCCTTCATAAAGGATGGCTACAAATGGTATGAATTCCTCTCCTCTCCTCCAATCAATATCATCCCAGTTCCCCAACCAACAAATCCCCATTTCATCCTGTTCCATCCATCTCTCTCACCATGAATCAGTGCTAACCATCTTCATCCAGGTCAACCAGCTCACTCTGCAAACGGTGTCCCACCATGGAATCCAGTTTCTCTACTGCAGCCGAACCAACGAGCTGTTTCAACTCCGAATCTCGTCAACTCTGGGCAGGGCCAGTTCTCGCCATCTTCATCTCTCCATCATGGTCACCCAACTCAGAGAATGCAGCCCAGACCTCCAATGAACATGAACATGCACAACAACTCCATGGTCTTTCAGTTCTCCAGTCCTAATGACACCCCATCCGCCGGCCCCTCCAGTCGCTCATCCACTCCAGGTAGTAGTTATGCCAATGGTTTCAACGGTGCAGGCCACTTCATCGAGCGTGCGAATAATGTTCAGCATCGCTCAGTCGTTCCTCAACCAAAGCGAAGGAGAACTGAAGACAGCGAGGGAGTGCACAATTTTATGACTCCTCCAGCACAGGGCGGAAGTGGAAGTGGAAGTGGAAGTGGAATTCTGGCTCAATATGTCACAGACAAACGCAAGGAAGCCAATGGCGCAACTGCGTCACCAGCCATGACTGTTGATCTCACTAGTGGTAAGTCCCGTCCAGAGTCTGTCTCTCTATGCAATGTTGCTAACACGGCCAGGAAATGACGACGAGGACGTAGTCCTTCAAGATCCACGCGAGGAAGAGGTTTGCTACGGAATGATCAAGGCTTCATTGGGCTGCACTCGAGTCCCTTCGCCAAAGCCAGGCACCCAACAGAGTGTCTGGGGTCCAAACTACCAGCCCGCCATCAAAGTTGTGCTCAAGAGGCAGGTAGGTGATACATCGCTCAAGATACAAGCCTACGACCACACACGGCAGATCATTGGTCTGGTAGAGAACCAAGGTGCTCGTGCCGTCGCGCCTCTTCTCGACTCAAACATTCACCTGAGAACGGACAGCCGAATCCCGCCACAGCCAAAGAAGCCCGGTGAGGAGCCTGGCCAGCCCACCTCACGATCCTATACCCTCGACATCGTCATGTATGGGCCCCTCAAGTACGCTAGGAACGTAGGCGCTCATCTGAGCAAGTTTGGCCTGAAGCTGCTGGCCCCTTACCTCGTCCAGAAGGGAATTCGTGTTCAGAACCCTCATGTTCTTGAATATCGCCCTCCACCTCCAAAGGTATATTCCACTGCGCCTACTAACGATGGGCAAAATGCCTCTTACACCAGCACCTTCAGCAACCGAACCGTGGAGGAGATTCGTTCAGAAGTTATGGGCGTCTTCGATTCCCTCACACGAAATGATGATTTGCCCGAGATGGAACCTAACCAGAATATTTTGACGCCTCTGCTTAAGCATCAGAAGCAAGGTCTGTTCTTCATGATGACCAGAGAAAAGCCTCGGGAGGCACAGGCGTATGAAAAGACTATGGTTTCCTTCTGGCAAGACAAATATGGCCCCGCTGGCCAGCGGATATACTTCAACGTCATCACTGGCCAGAACCAGGCCAGGCCGCCAGCTGAAACTCGGGGCGGAATTCTGGCTGATATGATGGGTCTTGGTAAAACGCTTAGCATCTTGTCCCTGATCACGACATCCACCGATGCTGCGTATGAGTGGGAACGACAAGCACCTGTCCAGCCAGAAGCCCCCGACCAGAAACCGACCAAACACGAGGTCCTATCTCAGCAGCCAACGCTTGCCTTGACCCCGTTGATGAGGAACGCCAAGACCACCTTGCTTGTCTGTCCTCTGAGTACGGTAACAAACTGGGAGGAACAGATCAAGCAACACATTCGACCTGGGGCTCTCGACTACCACATCTACCATGGCCCAAACAGGATCAAGGACCCTGCAAGACTGGCAAACTTCGACCTCGTGATTACCACCTATGGCTCTGTATCGAACGAGCTCAGTTCTCGTCGGAAGAAGAAGGATGGCCAGTATCCATTGGAGCAGATTGGCTGGTTCAGGATTGTGCTGGATGAAGCTCACATGATTCGTGAACACAGCACTCTCCAGTTCAAGGCCATCTGTCGACTGCAGGCGGATAGACGCTGGGCTGTCACGGGAACACCCGTGCAGAACCGCTTGGACGACCTTGCTGCCTTATTGGCCTTCCTTCGGCTTCACCCATTCCACGATCGATCCAAGTTCCTCCGATACATTGTGGAGCCGTTCAAGGCATGCGATCCTGAGATCGTGCCCAAACTCCGAATCCTCGTAGATACAATCACGTTACGTCGACTGAAAGACAAGATCGACCTGCCTCCTCGAGAGGACCTTGTGGTGAGACTTGATTTCAGTCCCGACGAACGCAGTATCTACGATTTGTTTGCAAAGAATGCACAGGATCGAGTCAAGGTGCTCGCTGGAACTAATAATGGCCAGGCACTTGGCGGTAACACCTACATTCACATTCTCAAAGCAATTCTACGACTTCGACTGCTCTGCGCGCATGGAAAGGATTTACTGAATGACGCCGACTTAGATACCTTGCAGGGAATGTCGGCAGAGATGGCAATCGACATTGACGACGACGACGATGACGACAAACCAGCACTTTCCGATCAGAAAGCACACGAGATGTTTACATTGATGCAAGAGACCAACAACGACGCATGCATTCAATGCAGCAGGAGGATCAGCTCTAACGAGAGCTCTAATATTGAAACTGAAGGACAGGATGATATTCTGGCCTTCATGACGCCTTGTTTCCATGTCATTTGCCGAAACTGCATCAAACCGTTTAAGGAACGGGCCAAGGCTCTGATGCCAGAGGGCGAGAACAGTGGATATTGTCCAGTCTGCAATGCCTACGTGAGACATGCTTTCGTGCAGCTTCACCGAAGGGAGGTGGACGCGGAGCATGACGGTCCAGCCAAGCCCAAGTCACGAAATGCTGTCAAGAATTTCGACAAGTATGAAGGCCCGCATACAAAGACTCGCGCTCTGATCGAAGATCTCCTGAGGTCTAAGGCAGCGAGTGAGGCAAACCCGTCTGAACCTCCGTACAAATCGGTGGTTTTCTCAGGCTGGACCTCTCATTTAGACCTCATTGAGCTTGCCCTCAACGCCAACGACATCGTCTTCACCAGGCTCGATGGCAGTATGAGCCGCACACAACGAACCACCGCCATGGACAGATTCCGGGAGGATAACACTGTCCATGTGATTTTGGTATCAATCATGGCCGGTGGTCTGGGCCTGAACTTGACATCCGGAAACAGCGTATACGTGATGGAACCGCAATACAATCCAGCCGCCGAGGCTCAGGCTATCGACCGTGTTCATCGGCTGGGACAGAAGCGGCCTGTCCGCACCGTTCGATACATCATGCGGGACAGTTTTGAAGAGAAGATGCTGGAGCTTCAGGAGAAGAAGATGAAGCTTGCCAGCTTGAGCATGGACGGCCAAAACAGGAGCTTAGACAAGGCGGAGGCAGCTCGGCAAAAGTTGATGGATCTGCGTAGTCTTTTCAAATGAGTGACGAACAAGTCTCAGTCCCGTTGGGCACTGGAGCATTAATGACCGCATGAGACAGGAGTTTTCGGTTTGTTTGTTTGTTTGTTTTCTTTCTTTCTTATCTACTCAGTTATTTTCTCACGAGGCCTTTTCTCAACTCACTGGAATGGAAGTGAGTCGATTCGGGCTCGAGTAGCATCAAACCTGAGTGTGAGCGCTCAGGCATCATGGGATGGGTTACCTTTTTTTGTTCTTCGTTCTCGGGCAAGGGTATACACCTGGCTCTCACGAGATGGTTTTTGTTTTTGTTTTGCATTATGGGCTGGGAATGGGATGGGATGGGGTGGCAAGCGTTGAGCTACAAAAATACAACCCTGGGATTTGCTGCATGGCGTACCTGGGGGAAACAGGCTTTTCAGTGGGAGAGGGATGGGAATGGGAATATGGGGCCTCACGATATAGACAATGAAATCAAGTTTTTCAGTACAAGTGTGACTTTGTGGGAATTATCAGGTGCATGTCGGCGTTGAAAAGTTGTTTGGGGGTATCTTATTTTTGACAATGATCCTAATCTACTGACTGATCCCCGTAACGCCCCTTTGCCATCGATCGCCTTTTGTCTAACAAGTCTCATAGTCTAGTCTAAGTTGACTCGTCCTCCTGCCGTAGTCCAGCATACTCTGTCCCCTGATTCGCAGTGCTCAAGCGCGCGCATAGACTCAACAAGACTACTGTCTCGGTAGCAGCATAATGGTTCAGTGCATCGAGTAAGATCTGCAGATGTCGACTGAAATTGCCCTCCCATTTACGAATGATCTCGAACAGATTGTCAATGCGAGCATCTACCTCGGCATTACCAGCCGAGGCAGCAGAGGTGTCATGATGAGCTGATGTTGAGCCACGTTGCACCGTCTTTGTCATCTGGAAGCGCTTCCATTGATCTGCTGTCATGGTAGGGGGCTTGTTGTTGCCTGAAAGATCTGGGTCTGACTTTTCGAGCTCACGGGTGAGCCAGTTTGTGTAGGCAGCGAAGATGGTACATGTCTGCATGAGTTTGGAGTGGATCTGGAAGAGATGTCAGTCATTAAACAGGAATTAATTAATTGGCAGCAGAGGAAGCCTTACCCTCAAAAGCTTGCTGTTGGTGAGCATGCACTCCTTGAGGCAGGTATCCAAAAAGTCGACATGATCCTGCATCAACTCATCGACAGTCCGTGTTGGTGCCCCTAAGCTCGAGTCCACGGGCTCATCCTTTGTCTTTAGACGCGACATGAACTTGTTCCAGTTTGGTTCGATGACTTCAGCCGTACAAAAGTAGAGGAGCTGTTGTACAAATACCAACATACGCGCACGAAGAGTCCAAACACGTCGCTTCCAGATCTCGAGTTTTCGCAAAGCACCCTTGTGTGCCCAGCTGATACCCCGAGTCTGCGTTTGCCATGTAGTCGACAGTTGCGATTCAAGATAGCGGAGTGAAAGGAGATAACGGAAGAGTGCTTGGTATCGCCATACTGTCTTTCGGCTGATGACGAGCGAGACAGGAAAAGGAACGGAGTAGTCGAGTTGCAGGGATGTGAAACCAACAGCGTTCTTATCGTTCTCAATAGGCTGGTTAGCAACAGGCTGGAGCGCCTCTCCCTGCTCGATACCCGTGATATTGACAACACGCTGCAGGGCCTTTGTGAGAACAATCTCATTCATTTCGACCTTGACATCCTCCTTGAACGGATCAAGAGAGACAAGACTGCCGGGCTGACGCAGGACAAGATCCAGTAAAGATTGCAGCTTGCCGGTGTTGACAGACTTGACGGGTTTGCGCAACTCTGAAGCGCCCAGCTCGAGGAAATAGGAGAAGTAGTCTGAGGGGTCGAGGAAGAAGTAGTGCTTGAGGGAGCGTAGACGAGCGGGTAGAGAGTGGGCTGTGAGGAGGAGTTGCATGAGAGATTCGTTGGCATGAGCATAAGCATTGTTGACGTTTTCGAGGAAGCGGTTGTCGTCAAAAGAAGCTGGTGCGTCTTTTGAGACTTTGCTCACATCAACGCCACCACATTCGCGGACAACGTTGAGATACTTGCCCGCTAATAGAACCTTGTCCTTGACACCCTCGAGTTGTGGAGGAACATCATGGTCCCGTATTGTATATCTTCTCTCCCAGTATTCATCAGTGTAGTCTTGTTCCAATCTCTCGCGTTTAATGCTCTTTTGTTCCTTGATGAGGAACTCGGCATGAGGATCATGAATTCCACCATGATGAAGCCATTCGTTGAGCATAACCATGTAAGGTTTGCTGGCGTCCCGCAATAACGTCGTCAACAACGCTCGAGCTGAAGGGTCGCCGGATAAAGATTCGAGACGTTTTGTGATTAGACCAAGAACCACGCCCCCTTTGCAAATCTTCTTGCCTGTCATGTTGCCTGGTACCAACTCGCCCCCGTCTCGAAGTGTCTCGAGGATGTTCTCGAAATCATCAGCACTATCTTCAGATTCATCGGTTTCATCATCGAGAAGAGCATTCTTTTTAAGTAGTTCATGAGCCAGTGAGTACAACTGTAACATCATCTGGCTCGTAGACATGGTATGAATGTTGAGCACATGAACAGTAAAAGTGTCGCTGGTGAGGAACTGCGTCTCGAGCTGTGCAATCATGACTAGATAGTCGTGTAAAAACTTGCGTATTGATGCGCAAAGAGCGTGGTTCACTGCGCCAAACTCTTCTCGGCTTTGAACATCGACAAAAGCTTCTAGGGCAGAATAATATGTTGCCATCTTGAGCATTGACTGTGTCAGGTCCTGCAGACTCGGGTCAAGACCAGGCAACGTTCTGAAGCTTGGTCCAGATAATCTGTCTCTCTCCTCGTTCGGATTGTATCCTTTGGCGAATCTGATGTACTGTCCTTCATATCCCATGAATACAAAGAGTAGATCCTCCACTATGGCAGCTTCTTGTAGCTCCAGGCTCAGTTCGCCGAGAGGTTTCGGTTGAGGAGCTTGAGGTACGGTCGACGCTAGAGGAGGTATTGATATTCGTGAGGCTAGAGGAGCTGTTGTATGTGGTAGGAGGGTTACTTCGGGGTTCCATGGTGCTTCAGATTGTCAGTTTCAGGGCCTTGAGGAGGCTGATTTGGAGAGTAGAGACAGACCCAGTGGAGTCTCAGCTCTCGACTGCCGAGCCTCAGGAGTGTCATGTCTAGGTGCTTTAGACGTAGCTCTGCTCTCTGAAGGCGCATTTCGTCGATGTGATCGCTCTGGACTCGTATTTCTCGGGACTGCACGCTCGAGGTGGGCTTCAAAAGTACGCTCCGTCACCCTCCTCGTCTCAAAGCGCCGCTCCTCCTCATTGCGACTCGATGCCCTCGGGTTCCCTGAAGCGGATCGTTTATGAACATTCGAGAAAGTGGACTGGGTCGTCGAAGGAGGACCCTTGCGAGAATCGGAGCGCTCGCCCTTGAGGTTGGTCGATACGCGGGGCCTTTCGTCGCGATAATCGTTGGCGCTGGTTCGGCCCGATGCTCGTGGTGCGCCGGAAGCCATTGTATGACCGGGCTACATCTGAAGAGAGAAACTTTGGGTGAGGTTTCTCTTGTGAAGGTTGTGGTAGAGACTTTGGTTGTGGTTGTGGTTGTAGTTGTAGTAGTTGTAGTCAGCCCAGGTCCAACGTTAGTAACTTAGTGACTTGGAGGTTGTTGATTTGGGGGAGCTGTAAGTGTTTGTGCCCAATCGAATTGCGCGACGAGTGCCGACGCGACGTGGGGTATGTACAGACAGCTACCTAAACAATATAGCACGGTTATAAGTAAGGTAGGCTGTTAGGTATGCTTGAAACTATGTAAAATGTTTCGTATATATCTTCCCATCAAGTAATTAGATAGCAGTCTAACAGCTACGACCAGATATAGAATTGCTAAGATATAACTAGGTACCTAGATCGTAGCTATACGTACTATAGTAGTAGCCCTCTGCTATTATTGTCATGCCCAATTGTGGCGGTGAAACTGTGGCTCAGCAATTACAGAAGGCTCCAGCTCCAAGCGTTACCTTAGTTAGTGCAGCGCGGCTACGTAGGCGGACTGCTTGCCTGCAACTCCACCAGAGCTCACATCCTCACTCCCATCATCCATCCATCCATTGACTTGCTCTCTCCCTCAGCCTACCCACTCTCGACTCCTCAGCAGGCAATTCGACTCGTCATCCACGAATTCAACTTGTCATATCGACTTGGACTGTTCTACCTACGAACTCGGTCTCTTCATATACTAGGAAATCTTCCGCCCTCCTCTAGCCTAGCTATCACCACTGCACACAAACCGGCAAGATGTTTATGGCAAGATCTGAATACGGCATGTTCACCCTTTTTCCCCTGAAACTAAATGCTCTCCATACTCAGAACAACAACTAACATCCGCGCCAGACCGAGGCATCAACACCTTCTCCCCCGAAGGTCGTCTCTTCCAGGTCGAATACTCTCTCGAGGCCATCAAGCTCGGCTCCACGGCCATCGGCGTAGCCACCTCCGAGGGTGTCATCCTCGGCGTCGAGAAGCGAGTCACCTCGACCCTCCTCGAGACCTCCTCCGTCGAGAAGATCGTCGAGATCGACCGCCACATCGGTTGCGCCATGTCAGGTCTCCAGGCCGATGCCCGCTCCATGGTCGAGCACGCCCGTGTCGAGAGCCAGTCCCACGCCTTCAACTACAACGAGCCCCTCCGTGTCGAGAGCTGCACTCAGGCCATCTGCGATCTCGCTCTGCGCTTCGGTGAGGGTGCTGATGGTGAGGAGACTATCATGAGTCGTCCCTTTGGTGTGGCTCTGCTCATCGCTGGCTTTGATGAGGATGGTCCTCAATTGTTCCACGCAGAGCCCAGTGGTACCTTTTACCGCTACGACGCCAAAGCTATTGGCTCTGGTTCCGAAGGCGCCCAGGCTGAGCTACAGAACGAATACCACAAGGTACGTTTACAAAGATACAGCCATTTTGAGGCAGCAAACCTGACATTCTCATAGTCTTTGACGCTCACAGACGCAGAGACCCTTGTTCTCAAGACGTTGAAGCAGGTCATGGAGGAGAAGCTCGATGCCAAGAACGTGCAGTTGGCCAGCGTAACCAAGGAGAAGGGCTTCAGAATATACACAGATGAGGAGATGGCCACAGTCGTGGAGCGACTGCCAGCCAACTAAGGATATTACTCATGAATCAAGAGAAATTACGAATAGACACAAGAGAAACCCACTCTCGGGTTATTGACGAGCAAACAAACCACACCACAACCTAGCTCTTCAGGCGATGTTTTCACGGAGATTCTGACGAAAACATTGAGGGCCTCACAAGAAGAGGGCCAGAATTATGTATCATTAATGCAGTAGGGGCACTCGCCAACTGCGGTTCCGCTAGACTTCCAACGTTTCTTCGGGTCAATTGAATTTCGTGAATATTGCTTCCATCCCCTTTCCCGGATTTTCCAAATCGAATATTCAAAGCACTAATCAGAAAGCAGAGCGTACGCTGCATTATAAAGAGCTCCAGAAACATGATATCCATAGTATATAACACGCCAATTCATGCTATACGTAGCTTTAATTGTCATCCTTAAGATCCAGAAATTCGAGATCTCGCTCAACACTGAGCAGGCCCAACGCAAGCGAAGCCCTTTCTGCCTTGGGTATTTGGATACGACGAACTTCGCCTGTCTCGACTTCGTGAATGAATCGATCAATCTGTCGTGGGTTCTGCCACCTTGCGACAGGCACTGGTTCGGTCTCTGGGGCACGCTGGTATGGAGGCCCACGACCAAGCTGCGCCGCCTTGATCCAAGAGGATTCGCATCCAGTGGCAATGCGTTCTGCTGATTGCCAGCCCGTCAATCGAGTGATGTCCCGTAAGTGACGTATCACCCAATGCCGCTGTTTCTCATCCTGGTACTAACAAGTGTTAGTGAATTGTCTTATCAAAGGTCTGTGGCTGGCAAACATACCTCAATCGCTGCTACGAAAAGGCAGAAGCAACTCTCGATGAACGCTGCACTGACAAGAGTTGTGATCTCCGTTGCCTGTGAGACATCCTCAGACAAGCCAGCTGCTATCCTGCCCAGTTTGTTCGAATATGGGCCCGTCTGTCGTGCTGACATGCCAGCTGCTTGCATCGCCGCAGGAGGCATCGAAGGGTGGCATCGAACAAGATTTATCATGCCCATATAAAAGTTCATCCAGATTCCAGCAACAGAAAACGTGCGATATTGCATCGTCATTCCGAATGGCGAGTCTCGTTTATCTGAAAACTCTGGCTTGAGCGGTTGGAACTCTGGTCCTAAGCTGCTTTCATATGCTTCGAAGCCCCGCTTGATAGACTCCCACTCCTCAAGGGCAGCCTGGTAACTCGCGTCTGCGTCGTGATCCTCTGTAGAGTCACTCTGCGGCGATGTCTCACGGGGTGGTGTAAAGCCTCTTGGGACGTGGAACTTTCCATCCGTAGGAACGATACCAGGAAATGATGGTGGAGAACTGCCACCAGCTCCAGGAGGAGGTCCCCTGGCGAGACTTGCTTTTCGTTTTCTTGAAATATCTTTTGAAGAAAAATCTGCAAGCCTGCCAAGTAAAAGCATAAGATGATCATACGATCCATAGCTATGAACCATGCATTAGCATCAAAGCGGGTATATATGATGAATTTCACTTACATAGCTTCAAGTTTCGAAATTGGTGCCCTGGGAGGACACTGAGACCAAGATTCGTAGTTCATGCTATAACAGTAAGCTTTAGGATCGAGTGAAGGATACGCGAAGGGATCTTACAAAAGTCTGGTGCCTGCCAGCATGCTCTGATACACGTCCATTTTGCAATACCACCAGAATAAATCTCGGATGTTTTCGTAGTGCTCAATATCTCTATCGGTCACGGTCTGAGATAGGTCGATTGGTTGTTTTTCTCCAAGTCCATAGTCCTCTGCCGTTACATCCTGGCCCGAAATTGCCTGCAACAGGCTGTAATCCAGGTCATTGAGTTCGCTCTGAGAGGGGATACTCAGACCCGGGAAGAAGCTGTCCATTTGGTTCTGATTCTGGGCGTCTTTTTCTGCCTGCTTGTAACGTTTGACTGGCAGATATTTTCTTGACATTTGTCTAAGGGGTATTTCGCTAAATAAGATTCTGGCTCCAAGAAGATGATTGCACCATTTAGTATGATCCGAGGACCACACCTCAAAATACGACAACAACAGTGTCGCGGCTACTGTTGCAGGTTGTGTTCGTCTGAGGGGTGTGTTGACGTTTCGAGCTATTCGGCGGATTGCCAAGTGATAGTGTTTCATTGCAGCTGTGGCTGGTATGTTTTGCAGCTTAGCTATTTGCAAGGCACCCAAGGCAAGCATAGAGTGAAGCAACGCGGGGTGGTTCAAAGATATGACGGGGAAGGTGTCTTGGCAATAGTTAATAACAGACATCAATGCTGTCATGGAGGGCATATGACTTACAACTCCAAAGATTATTAGCCCCTTTCGGGGTAGGGTCGAACGAGTTCTCGCCAGTATGATCAAAGGGATGCCTTTCATACAATGACATGCTTGGGCCGGTAACTTGGATAAAGTGCATGAAGATTTGCAACATTGCAGGATCCTTGAGTTCTGTGATTCGAGCTGTAGCTGTATAATCAGAGAGGATATTGCATTGAGCAAATGTTGAAAAGGTTCGGACTCGGGTGCCGTTTGTGTCCCACGTTCCATTGAACTGCTTCATGACAGGTCCAAGAACTTGGCGAGGATCTTGAATCTCATCTTCTGATTCACCCATCGAAGCATCATCCTCCGGCATTTCATAGTCGTCATAGTCGAAGTCAGGTTCAGGTATTCTGTGGTTCAGCTCCTCCATCCTTTCTCTCTTGATGGCGACAGGTTCCGGCTGATTACTACCCGCGTAGGGGAGACCATCTTGTCCATTGAAAGGAGGTCCCTCATAGTGTGGCCGAGCGTCAGGGGGCGGCCTAGGATATCCCATCGGAGGCTCGGGAGGCATCATACCATTCGGTTGGTGATATGGATGAGGCATTGATGGGGCGTTGAAATCGTAGTGACTGGGAGGCATGGCTCCTTGTGCATGAGCATAATGCCCGTAGGGTGCTGGTTGGTGTCCATGATAGCCAAAGGCAGGTGGTTTAGGAGCAATCATGGGCAATGGGCCCTGAGAGGTCTTCGCTTGTAAGTGGGGGACAAGGTGCGTAGATCCAGGAGGATAATAAGCAGGACCAAAAGGGCCGCCTTGTATCGCACCCATAGGGTCCTTGAAGACAACACGTTGGTTGTAGCCCTCGCAATGGCGCTTAGATTTGATACAGTTGTTGCATATCGGCCTTCCTTCGTCACATTTTATTCGACGCTTGCGACAAGCTGTTGTCAAGCTTGCATTAGTATCATTCTTCTCGAGTCACACTTACAAGGGGGAGATGGATCGACTCACTTAAACATCCGGTCTTTGTCCTTTTGCGAATGTTATTCCTTTTGCGATCTGCCTCTTCTCTTGATTCATCCTGCAGGTTGGAGTTTGCAGGGACCTTTTGGTTCGCAGATGCAGACGACGATCCAGTTTCTTGATCCATGATGAGGGGAGGAAACACAGTACACAGGTTTCAAGTAGTTCTCGATCCGCACAAGTCTCTATGTTGAGTGGCAATTTTACATGACGTTGATGAGTGTGAAGGTCTGCGGTTCAAGCTTGAATCTTAAGCCATATTATCGAACGACACTAGTTGTATTTTGCAGAGGAACGAACAATGGAATGCCGACTGAAGTGGTCTTAGAGGCTGTTGGCTAGAAGTTAGAGCCGAATCGATCAGGAAAGAGAAAATGGCGAATGGAACGGAAAGGAATTACAGATTGGGACGGGAGATATAAATGGCTGCAGAAATATGACATGGGATATCGAGAGTAGAAAACGGGAGTTTGCATACAATGGGATTGACTCAAGGGGGAGAAGAAGTGATGTACCTTAGTTAGTTCGGCCAAGGATTGCGGAAGAGAAAGCCAGAAGAGAAGGCAGAGAGAGCGTAGAGTAGAACAAGACAGCGGCCCAGGGCCTAGGAGCCGTCTATCAGTTGACTTATGGGGAAGCTTCTGGAGGCAAGTAATGGAGCAACTGAAACATGCTTGTGTAACTCGAGAGTCGGCGGTTTGCCAATTCAACTGGGCCGTCGGAGCGAGAACTTGTCTGGTCTGGTCTGGTCTGGTCTGGTCCTGACCTGGTCTGTTCTGTTCTGTTGTTGGTCCCCTTGTAGGTTGAAGTATGGCCGGCGACAGGGACTTACTCCCTACTGCGGGCCAGGTCTACCAAGATAGATGACGAACTTGTGCTCAGTGCTTTGTCTTGCCCATCTGCGAGGTGAACAGTGAGTGAGCTTAGGATATGCTGTCTGAGTTTGACCCGCTGTCTCTTATAATAGATATTGTCTGGTTTATCTCCCTTGGGGGTTCTTTTTATAGGTACCTAGGCAAAGAGACAGGCAGACGGACGGACAGGTAGATGGATCCTCTACGTCTGGCCGCGGGGGAAGAAAGAGGGGTTCAGTTGGTTCGATTGTAGTAGTAAATGATGATTTCCCAAAAGTGTCCAAGGTTGTAGTAAGGTGATTTGGTGAGGAACGAGAAAGGGCCGAGAAAGGGCAGCGCAGCACGGGATGCCGGAGATAGTGGAGGAGATAAGTCACCAAAGTACCGAGGCCGACACAAAGATTGAGGTGAAGTAGCTTGTTAGGGTCAAGTAGAATTTTGGCGAAAAGAGAGGTCAAAGATAGGATAACTATATGTGGTAACCAGGTCGGACGGTGGTGGAGTGGATGAATGGGGTTTATGGATGCTTGTGGTGGTTCTCCCCGTGTAGTAGTGTAGTGTAGTGGGGGGGGGGCTCCTTGGGCTCTTTCCGGTGATGGGTGATAGCGTCTGGGCGCAAGTAAATTGGCAGGGCAGGCTCTAACTTAGTCGTAGAGGTCTCATAGCGCACTTCCATGTCTTCTTACACAGTGCAGTGATCCCCAAATGCCGGGCCCAATCAGATAATAGGAAGCTCTGGATTAAAATACAAGAACCCGGTTTACGGTGCTGGTAAGCTGCGTTAGGCCTTCTCATTCAAGTGATGAACCTATCATGGAGTAAAAGAATAGCAGGGTACAATGCAGTAGCGGTACAGTTAGTAGCTAGA